ATGCATGGAGCATACAATTTCTGTATTTCACTCAACTACTCAAGAGACTGAAATCTAAGGTTGAGATTCAAAGTCAGCACAGATGGGAAAGTCCTGAGACTATGCATACAAATAAGAACTATGCCATTCGTAATGATCAGGATCAGGGAGGTATAAAGAGAGAGATCGAGCAAGTCTCATTAGACAAGATGAGAAAAGCCCTAGTGGAAGCAAGGACCACTACCAGATGGACATCTAGAGACATGGCTCCAGGAAGGAGCAGCGGAAAAAGTCCAGGAAGAACACTGCTGGCCACTGTGTCTGGAACATGGGGAAGTCGGGACGCCACTTCTGCCTGGTCAGCTCTCCTTCACTCACCAGACTGACTCTACATTTAATGGAGTGCTGCAAGTCAATTTTTATGCCATTCTCATTTTCAAAGTCTTTGCCACTGCAATGGTAAATGGTCAGAAGTCTGTTTACTTTCAGGCTCTCTTTGCTCTCTCTCTGCCAATCATGTCTAACTTTCCCTATCTCTCTCTCTTTTTTTTTTGGTTGGTCATGGGGCTTGAACTCTGGGCCCGGGCACTGTCCATGCGCTCTTCAGCTCAAGTCAAGCGCTCTACTGCTTGAGCCACAGCGCCACTTCCTCCCTATCTCTTTCTCTTTTGTACAACATTTTGGCTTGTGCACTGAAGAGTGCGACGCAGGCTGGGTCCCAGGAACCCCCCCTCTAGATTCCCTCTCAAAGCCTCGCCATTCTAGGTTTGAAAATTGTCAGTTTCCATTTGTTCAGGTTTCTGTCAATGGCTCATGAGACTTCTCCAGACTTCGTCCAAGAGATTTGCCTCCTCCAGACTTCATCGAAGGACTCAACAGCTGCCTGCTGTGTTCTCCCAGAGTGGACCACATCTCAGCCTTTTACCCCTACTGTTGATGCCCCTTGCCAGCAGGAAGTAGCCAGAGAGAATCTTCGTCCTTTTTCATAATTATCAAAAGGCTGGAATGTAAGGTCCATTCCTGGATGGTGAACAGACCTCGCCCAGTACCTGCGTTACCTAGGCAACTGGGACACCTGGAAGAGGTCACATCTGCATCTTCTGAGGTCACATCTGAATCTGATGTGGCCACACCTTTCTCCCACCTGGTCCCACCTCTTACCTGGTCCCACTTCCTTTACCTGGACACACCTTTCCCCGCCCCTACCCTGTATAAGGCCTAACTCAGGGCCAGACGCTCTCTTTTGCCAGCCGCATGGAGTGCCAACCTTGCCTGGTCCCAGCAGGTCTACTGAATAAATCTACCCCTTACCTGAATACCACGTGCGTGGTGCTGTTCTTACTCGGCCACCTCTTTTTAAAAACCTAACACTCACATTCTCTCTTGCTTTTCACAGTCCTCTTCTGACTTCAAATGCTTCCTTTGCCTCCTAGGAAGGAGAGAATTCAAATAAACCCTGCAAAGTTTAGCTGGCCCTGCCACTCTACCTTCTGGTGGCTCCCTTTCCCTAAAACTCCAGGCATGTGGGAACTCCCAGAACACTTGGAGCCTCGCCCCCCCTCCAAGGCCTTTGCTCTATGCCTGGAATGCTCTTCCAGAGTTCCTGGCATAGCTGGCTTGCTCTCACTAGCAGGACACCTGTAAACTCACCTTCTAGAGCGGCCTTCCTTCATGTCCCTCCCTCAGTACGTCCCCAATCCCTTCCCCAGTATTCTTGATCAGAAGTGCAAATGGCCAAACTCCCTTTTTTATGCCTGAAACCTCTTCATACTGCATTTAACAAGGACTTGCCTCTTTTAGGAAAATAGCGCATCGTGACCCTTTTAAAATGACTGTAGTTTATAATTTCTTTGCCCCTCCCCCATCCAGTGGTTTAAGGAAGTGGGGTTTGGGTAGGTGTGGGCACAGAGTCAGAGCCCTTGGGATTAGAATAAAGAGGCTTGCAGTGGGTGTGGTGCCAAGGTAACCCCAGCACTTGTGAGGCTCAGCAGGTCACTGGTTCAGGGCCAGATTGGGTTATGCAGTAAGACTGTACCTACAAAACAACAACAACCATCATTCCCCAACACACACACACACACACACACACACACACGCACGCATGCTTGCGCTGGAGCTGGGTATTTGGTGGCTCATTCCTGTCACTCAGGCTACTAAGGTTGAGATTCAAAGTCAGCACAGATGGGAAAGTCCTGAGACTCTTATCTCCAATTAACCATCAAAAAGCTAAAAGTGAAAGTGTTGCACAAGTCATAGAGTGCCAGCCTTGAACAAAAAAAGCTAGACAACGACCAGGTCCTAAGTTCAAGCCCCAATACCAGCATCCTCCAATTCCACCCACCCACGCCACGTCCCCCAAAAAACTTACCAAAAAAACCCCTACAAAACCAGAAAGCAGACCTTCACCTTCGCCTTTATCTTAGCCTTTCCATTCTCTAGAACCTTGAGAAATAAACTTCTGTCGTGGTGTTTTGTGACAGAAGTCTCAGCAAGGACACTATTGCTCCCACAAAGAATCCTGCCACGAAAGGAAATTTCATATTATGGTGACAAATGGAATATGTCTACAATGTTTTCTGCATTCCTTTAGAGAAATTTGTTCTCACACACACACAAAAAAAAACTGTTTAAAAATTGCAGGAGCCTGCAACTTAATGTCTGATTTTAAAAACCAGAGTAAAATTGTCAATAAAATCTCAACTGTTTATGGAATAGATGCCTGTGACATTCACATGTGCTCTAGAGGGGTTATAAGACCGCTTCAAGCAATGCAACCCATACAATAAAGTTTGTGCCCAATTAAGGGTGAAGCCCTCCAAACACTGAGAGTTTTAGATCTGCTCAGATATATGAATCTCACAATGGCTAGGGAAAGAAAAGTAGATGATTATCTTTCACCAGAGCAAATTTACTTTTGATTTGCTACATTCTTGGGCTGGAGGCGTGGCTCAAGTGCTAGCATACATGCCTAGCAAGCTTGAAGCCATGAGTTCATATCCTAGTACCATAATTAAAAAAAAATTATCTATGGTCCTTATTACCTAAATTTCACATCACCACTTAGTCTAATTAAATATACAATTCCAAAGTAAAATCTGTATGCTGATACTGCAATCATCACTTCATTACTTTTTCTCTTCTCTACTATCAAAATCTAGTCACCTTTATAAAACAACTTAGCAAACCAAAGTTTTATCTTCAGCATCTCAATCACAAGTCCTTTGGAGAAATTTTTTTCAACTGCCCAGCTATTTGTTGGCCTTATGTGGTGTTTTGGCGCCCTCTAATGTAAAATACTGTTCTAACACTTGTACATAGCAAAAGTCTCCTTAATATTTGTAGTAAGGGGAAAAAAGAGCCTAGTTTTTCACTGAAACACGACTTTTTTTCCCCTGATTTCCAGAAACCATAATGAAATTTGGATATAATTTATGAAGACACAGGACATTTGAAATTCACAGAGAATCACGGTGGTTCGAAACTCAATAAGGGTATTCATAAAAGTGCATTTGCTGTTTTTCATAATGCTCTAATATCCCTTCTACAATTTGCTCTGTGAATAGACACGAACATGTACAGAACACCACGCATGCAAGACTGTCCAGCACAGCACTGGAAAAAACATAAATATCAGTCAGCAAGGGTAGTTATTTAAAATATACTAGATGTACCCAACAGCGTGTCATGCAGTGGTAAAACAGAAATAACTTTTTTTTTTGTCATGGGGCTTGAACTCTGAGTCTGGGCGCTGTCCCTCAGCTCTTCAGCTCAAGGCTCTACCACTTGAGCCACAGGGCCACTTCTGGTTTTCTGTGGGCTAACTGGAGATGAGAGTCTCATGGACTTTCCTGCCTGGGGCTGGCTTTGAACCGCGATCCTCAGATCTCAGCCTCCTGAGTAGCCGGGATTACAGGCGTGAGCCACCGGCGCCCGGCTAGTCCCAGGGAAATTTCATTCCACTCAATAGACTTCAAAACTTCAAAGGATTTGACGCCACCCGGTATTAAGAAGTAGGTAGGGCAAGAAGTGTCATCATGCAGCTTGGCAATGCACAGGGAAGGTGAAGCCACTCACCCGGGTCTCGCAGGCTGTTATCCCTGCGTGCATGGCCCCCAGAAACCTTCACACCTATAAAACACATGTACTAGAGTCCTTGTGGGGCTGGGACTGTGCTCAGTGGTAGGGCGCTTGCCTAGCACGCTTGAGGCCCTGGGTTCAATTCCTTGGTACTACATAAACAGAAAATAAATTAAATTAAAATTGCTTGTTAAACAAAATATAAATACAAAATGCCATTTAAAAAGTAAAAAATACATAAAACAAACGTAGCAAAAACGTAATAAAAATAAAACTACCTGTTAGCAGAGTTCAGTGTATTTCCTCACATGGCCAAACGGGGCCAGCCTCCCCTCCCTTCCCCAGCACCCCCAGGAGGCGAGGGGGCGGGCACTGAAGGAGCTGAAGACCCCCGGATGGAGGAGTCGAGGAGGGAGCCGGAGCGTGTGGGAGCGTACTGGTCAGCAGGCAGGAGAGGGCTTTCTCCCGCCACGCAAAGCGTAAGAGACCAAGCCGGGACCCGAACTCGAGGAGGCTCGCGTCGGGGTGAGCCACACCCAGCGTGGCCGTTGCCCCACGTTAGCGATCAGTTACCCCGGGAGTTCTTGGCTGCAAGCAGTGCTGACCTACTGGGTGGTCCCCACTCCCTCTCAACACCCACCCGCCCGGGGGTGATTCCGGCAGTCCCAGAGCGAGCCAAGCGCTGCTCTTCCTACCTCGGCCCGCGCGAACCCTCGAGACTACAAGTCCCAGCATGCAACACTCAAGCGACAAAAGGTCTGCCCAATCACTAAAAGGACCAACAGGCAACGCTCTCCAAAGAGGGCGGAGCCCCGTGCGAGGGCAGCACCGTTGCCGTGTCTCCTAGGCAACCCCAATGCCAAGGCAAAATGCACTTCCGCTTCCTCCTCTAAACCCTATGGCTGAGCGTCACGCAGCTCCGTCGTCGTGGTGACGTCGTTCGTCCGCGACCGAGCGAGCCCAGCGGTTCCGTGTGGCGGCGCGCGTCTCTCCGGCGGGAAACCTGAGAGTGGCTGCTCCACGCCGGTAGTTTCTGGTCTGAGAGGGAAAGGCAAGGCGGCGAGATGACCGACCGCTACACCATCCACAGCCAGCTGGAGCATCTGCAGTCCAAGTACATCGGCACGGGCCACGCCGACACCACCAAGTGGGAATGGCTGGTGAACCAGCACCGCGACTCCTACTGCTCCTACATGGGCCACTTCGACCTTCTCAACTACTTCGCCATCGCCGAGAACGAGAGCAAGGCCCGAGTCCGCTTCAACTTGATGGAGAAGATGCTGCAGCCCTGCGGGCCGCCGGCCGACAAGCCCGAGGAGAACTGAGGCCCGGCCTGGCCGTGGCCGCCGCCGCGCGCGCCTCTCCCCGCCTCCTCCCGCCGCCCTCCCCGCCCCGCCCCGCCGCCCGCGGACCGTGGCGACTCCGGAGCTCGACGTCGAGAGAGCCTCGGCCTCCCGGAGGGCTGCGTGCGCGGCGCCCTCAGCCCTAGCCGGCAAGACTTCGGGAAGACGGCACAGGAGTGGAGGGACTTGGAGGCTTTGCTTTGGGTTACTTGGTTATCGCTGTTTTATCCATAAAGTCTAGAAATTCGCCAATCCCTCGCTGTGAACTTGTTTGTTTTGGTGGGCGGATTTCCGGGATTGCTCTGGGGAACCAAGATTTCCCGAGAGTACCGGTGAGGAATGGAGGTGGGGAGGGGCTGTGTGTGACTCAGGCCCAGCGTCCTTTGTAAGGCCCTCACATCCACAGTGCACACTTGTGTATTATTCCTTACCCCGAGTCCTTCCTTCCCCACCTCCACAGCGTTTATTTTGGGACTATAGAGCCTTTTAAGTGTTGAGGTTTTCAGCTTCAAGCACCTTTTACTCCCAATTCAGGTCGGCTGTCATTGACCTCACTTCTCTCCTGAATTTGGCCATATTTTCAAAAGTGACAAGCTGAGAAATGAGTTATTCGTTCAGTATGCAGCAAATGTTCTTAAGTAGCAGGCGTTTCCCCAGGCTTTTAAAGGCTTACCTTACACTAGTTAGGGGAAAGAGGGACCAAATAAATTGTCGATGTATAAGGTGTTGGGAGATAAGAGCAGCTGGTAGGACCACAGTGGTGTTTGGATTATTAAACTGATGACACTTGAGCAAAGACTTAGGGAATTGAGAGAGATTCTTTCCCATGTAAGAGAAACGGCCAGTGCACTGGTCTCAAAGCTGGGAGAGTGATTGGTTTCTGGGGGGTGAGGGAAAGGCAAAGAGGCAAATATGGCTGGAGAGAATGAGCAAGAGGAAGAACACAGACAAGAAGAGGAGGAGGAAGGAACAGAAGAGTCTTGTAGGTGAGGAAAGAACCGTTGGAAGATTTTTTTTTTGTCGTGGGGTTTGAACTCTGGGCCTGGGCACTGTCCCTCAGCTCTTCAGCTCAAGGCTAGCGCTCTACCACTGGAGCCACAGCGCCACTTGAGGCTTTTTCTGTTTATGCGGTGCTGAGGAATCGAACCCAGGGCCTCATGCATGTGAGGCAAGCACTCTACCACTGAGTCACCTTCCCAGCCCACTGGAAGATTTTTAAGCATATCAGTGACATGGTCTTTTAATGTATCCTTGGAAAGTGACTGTCAATTTGGCCTTGGGACTCTTGTACTATAAAATTATTGGTGACTAAATCATTTTATGAAGGTTGTAGTTACTGATATCACACATTACAACAAATTTTTTAAAATAGTGACATAACTTAAAAAGTAATAAAACATCGCATAATAATACTTATATTGTCTAGCTAGTTGCCTTTGGATCATACCTGTCATCCTAGACAATCAGATGTTATATTGTAGTCTGAAGCCCACCAAAGCAGAAAAGTCCATAAGACTCCATCTCCAAAATAGCTAACAAAAAGCCAGGCTAGAGTTGTGGCCCAAGTGGTAGAGTGCCAGCTGTGACCAAATAGGCCAAGTGAGTTCAAAGCCCAGTACCAGCAAAAAAAAAGAAAAAAAAAAAGGAATGGTAATGATTTCTCCAGCACATACTTAAGAATTTCAGTAGTAAAAAAAAAAAAAGAATTTCAGTAGTATGGATAGAACCCAGACACATGCTAATCGACAAGCCTTTATCACTTGAGCCAGGCCTCTAGAGAGCATGGCCTTTGTTTTTTTTTTTGGTAGGTCATGGGGCTTGAACTCAGCTTGGGCGGTGACCCTGAGCTCTTTAGCTCAAGGATAGTGCTCTACCACTTTGAGCCACAGCGCCACTCCCAGTTTTCTGGTGGTAAATTGGAGATGAGTCTCACGGACTTTCTTGCCTGGGCTGGCTTTGAACCGAGATCCTCAGATCTCAGCCTCCTGAGTAGCTAGGATTATAGGTGTGAGCCACCAGCACTCAGCAAGAATGGCTTTTTAAAATACAGTTTTGCTCATCAGCAGCTGGCTTAAGATACGACGCGATTTTCATGTCTGCATTCAAACTGTTGAGATATGAAGTTTTAGTTGAAAAATTGCAGTGTTTGGTTTTATTTTTTTTGGTGGTTCTGGGGATGAAACTCAAGATCTGTGTATGCTTGACAAGTGCTCCATTATGAGCCTCATCCTCAGTCCTCCAAATACACTTCATAAACTAGTATAGGAGAAATATTTAATTTTTTTTCACATAGTTGCACATATTCTCTGTCAATACAACGGTGGAAAATGCTTTTCTGACCAAGAGCAACTTTGATATTTCTAACACCATTTGTAAGCCAAATAAAATGATCAGTAACAGGCAGCCCTCCTTGCACAGCTTTCAAGAACCCAGTGAGAAGCACGCGTCTCTCATATACCCGGTCTTACATGGCTTGCCAGCCCAGACAGTTCCCACTCTTGTTATAAAAGTAATCCATGGGGCTGGGAAGGTGTCTCAGTGGTAGAGTGCTTGCCTCGCCTGCGTGAGGCCCTGGGTTCAATTCCTCAGCACCATATAAGCAGAAAAAGTGGTAGAGCGCTAGCCTTGAGCTGAAGAGCTGAGGGACAGTGCCCAGGCCCAGAGTTCAAGCCCCACGACTGACCAAAAAAAAAAAAAAAAAAAACAAAAAAAAAAAAAAAAAAAAGTAATCCTTGGTAGGTCGTGTGTGTGTGAGTGCACACACGTGTCGGTGTTCAAGTTTCAACTTGGTCTTGGTGCTGTCCCTTAGCTTGAACTCAGTACCTGTGCTCTGTTCCTGAGCCTCTGTGCTCAGGGCTAGCGCTCTACCACTTGAGCCACAGTGTCACTTCCAGGTTTTACTGAGTAGTTTACTGGAGATAAGAGTCTCAGGGACTTTGCTGCCTGGGTTTGCTTCAAACCATGATTTTCAGATCTCAGCCTCCTGAGTAGCTAGGATTACAGGCGTGAGCCACTGACGCCTGGCCATGTAGTTTCTTAAAGAGGAGTTACTGAAACTAGATTAATGAACTTTGCGTTAAAGTTTGTACATCTGTTGTCAACTTTGAATATATCTTTTACCCAGAATTGGCTTAGAACATTATGTATCAGGTTATTTGGAATGTATTAGTTCACAAGCCTTCCAAATATTAACACATGGGCATTTATTTAAAAAAATCACTTTTTTTCTACAAATTTTAAGTGTTTGCATGGGTAGTTGTAGTGTGTCATCTTTCCTGAAGTGATGGACCTGCTTGGTTTATTTTCAAGAATATATCTATTAGGCTGGGGGTATAGCTTGTTGGTACAATATTTGCTTAACATATGCAAGGTCCTGGGTGTGATCCCCAACACTGGAAAAACAAGATAACAAAAACAAAAACCGACTGTGTGTCAAATGCCCAAGTCTGAGAAATAGGGCTGGATTGTGGTTCAGTGGTAAAGCCTGAAGTGCTGTCTAGCTTGCTGGAAGCCCTGGGTTTAATCCCCAGCACTATGAAAATAAAGAAAAACAAAATACGTTTTCATTCTTACACATAGAATGGGGCTTACACATAGAATGGCTGGGGCTGGGAAGGTGGCTCAGTGGTAGAGCGCTTGCCTTGCATGCATGAGGCCCTGGGTTCGATTCCTCAGCACCACATAAGCAAAAAAGAAAAAAAAGCCAGAAGTGGCACTGTGGCTCAAGTGGTAGAGTGCTAGCCTTGAGCTGAGGGACAGCGCCCAAGCCCAGAGTTCAGGCCCCACAACCGGACCCCCCAGAAAAAGATATGGCTTAGAAGAGCAGCAGTTTAGTTTGCAATTCAATAATGCCTTCCTGAGGAAGCGCAGGATCATGCTTTGTAGGCAACAGAAATGCTTTCTACATCCTACCATTTTCCTTATCCACAATGTCTTCGAGGACTAAGATTGCATATAGCAAAGTTTACTGCTTCATCAAGGAAGCTGTTCAGTGAAATTGGGATATTTTTGGCTTTCTTCTTATTCAGAAGACATGGCAGATTATGATTACTAGTATGGTTTTGTGCCTTCATTTATGCTAAGTGCTAGTAGAGTTACCAGTGTTTCTTTTGTACCATTTATGAGCAAGTTACCTCTGAAAAGGGCAAGTAGAATCAGTATAATTATGAAAACAGTTTAACTTCAGATTCCTGAAATTCCTTCTCCACACTTTTTGCTTGAAAAAATGATAGTATATTATAGTTACTTATACTTGAGTATTTGGAAGATTTTTCTCAAAAACAAAAATAGAATGAGATGGGCTATGACTTCAAGAAAGCTATTAAACTACTGTTTCAGAAGATTCTTTCTGGGTGCTGTGTTGGGAGTAAGATATATAATGTAAAAGAGTAGGTATTGTAATTGAAAAATGTCAAACAGGAATGCTTTTTCCCTCATCCTTACAGAACTTGACAAAGATGGGCAATTTCTTTCAAAAGTATACAGATTGCTACACAGTGAGCCCCTGTTCCTAATTAGGCCAAGAGAGAAGACAACTTGTACTAGAAAGGAAGGAAAGGCCTGGATTTATTTTATGGGGTAGCATATGTGGTGAATTGAGTAATGTGTACCTTAAGAATTACAAAAATTAAGTCATTTCAGAGTTGTACAAACTGGGATTAAGATTACACAGAGCAAAGGTTTTGCTCTGTTTATTAATGGATGTATCTAGAACAGTGCCTGGTACATCCCAGATGCTCAATAAGTGTGAGTATGGAACATAGGAAGATAGGACTTGGTTCAGATAATACATTGCTAATCCGTGTGCGTAGGCAGTGTGCAATTTCAAAGAAAAGAGATAAAAGAAAACATGCTTCTTATTGCAGTGATATCGTTATGAAAACAACAGGGATAATAGCCATCATTCGAGAGTTTTATGGCGTGCTAAACATTTTACATTTTATTTGATGTCATCTTTTGGTGGTATTAGCTTCATTTTTTAGGTCAAACAGATTCATAACCATCAATGTGCCCAAAGTCACACAACTTGTCAGCTAAGTTTGGATTTGAACCAAGTTGT